AATAATACCTCTCTTAGGGTATTGAAAGAATTAAATGCTCCGAGGGAAATCAAGTGTTTCGTAGACTGCCTGATACAGGGGACTTTCTTAATAAATTATTAGTAGTGTTGGCCAGAGGACAGAGGGGTGAGACCAGAGGTTGCTAAGCCAAAATCAATCACAGACGTTGTTCTTGACACTTAACTTCCGTATGGGTGTTCTCACGGTGACTTTGTTTCCACTTTAGTAGTAAGTGGAATATTTATTTATTTATTTATTTTTATTATTCGTATTTAGCTTTAGCACAGTAGATGGGTTTGGTTTTTCTGTCCAGAAAGACACGCGTCGTAAGAGCGATGAACTATTGGCAGTCTTTCGCTTTGGAAACGATCCCTCAAAGAAATAATCCTAAAATGCTTTTTAAATAATTATTTTTTTTAAAAAGCCAAAAAAGAAAACCAAAAAACCAGATAGTAAGCACATGGCTTAAAAAGTGGCTCAATAATATAGAGCAATGATTGACTACTACTAACCATTTTAAGTGACCAGTATATGAGAATCAGTAGCATATAAATAGAATAACGGTAGTTGAAAAAGAATAATCCAAAACAGCAATTGATTGCCGTTTTGCTAATGCATCTATTTACGTTAACAAAGAAAGAGGGACGCCTGGGTGGCTCAGTGGGTTAAAGCCTCTGCCTTAGGCTCAGGTCATGATCTCAGGGTCCTGGGATCTAGCCCTGCATCAGGCTCTCTGCTTAGCAAGGAGCCTGCTCTTCCCCCCTCTCTCTCTCTGCCTGCCTCTCTGCCTACTTGTGATCTCTCCGTCAAATAAATAAATAAAATCGTTAAAAAAAAAGAAAAAAAAACTGGAGAAAAAGAATTTTTCTCTAAAATAATTGTAAAAATCTATAATGTATTTTAATAGTGAATAAAAAATTCAATGTTCTATAAACTCTTCCTGGGCAGGGCAGGTGGAATAAGTATAATTATAAAGATCTACCTTAGGCTGTCCCTTGACCAAAACAGAAAAAAATAAGCCCAGGGTAGGTGAGGACTTGTGTCAGAATGATTGTCATAAATCTGGAACGCTTTACCCAAGGACATTGCCCCCGCACAGAGTACCTTTTTACGAGAAACCGGGACCCCGTCTGCCTCTATCAGCAGCCCACCCACCTCTCGACCAAAAGACAAAACCATGTGAGTTCTCCACGGGCGGGTCATCCCAGACTAGAGAAATACCGATTGAATAGGAATTGGATCTTTCTGAAAAATCTACTCACTCCGCGCTACCCAGGACATCAGTTCTCCCCATTTTCAAAAGCTTCGCCGAGTGAAGTGTGCGGCTCGCCTACTAAGGGAGGCTCTGATCACTGTGACCCGGGCTCCCCACTTTAAATCCGTACACAGCCTTTCTCGCTCGTACCAGTGGCTGCCAAGCTTGTTCTCGAAGCTCAGGGGACAGAAGTACGGGTCTCTTTGTGGGGTACCTTGAAAGAATGGTGCATTTACTCCTGTCTGAACAATAAGGAATAGTTCAATAGGAAACACTGCTTTAATCTGTTTATTACAATTCAAAATCACACATTTTTTTTTAAATTAAGGGTAAAGGGCTATCTTCAGGTTTTGATGAGTAATTCTCTCTTTTACAACTTGTTCTTCTAATTGGTCATTTGAGGAGAATTTATGGAACTAAAAACCAAGAAATAAGCGTATCTGTTGATTTCCTTTTTTTCTGTGAATTTAGGAGTGGAACGTTTTGGCTGAGTCACTAAACAGAGTTCCGTGAGAAGGTGATTTTAGAATTATTGGTGTGGCTCATTCATTTTGTCCTTAATCACACCCTTCCTTGTGATTTATCTTTGTTTACTATTATTATTATTATTATTATTATTATTATTTAAAAGCTATAATTCTAGTAGAGTTAACATACAGTGTTATTTTAGTTTCAGGTGCACAATATAGTGATTCAGCCATTCTGTACGTTACCCCTGCTTATCAGGACAAATGTACTCTTTGTTTTTTTTAATAGGGCACGCGAGTTAGGTGGGGAGCAGAGTGGGAGGGAGAGAAAGAATCTTAGGCAAGCTCCCTGCCCAGCACAGAGCCTGACACCGGGCTCCATCTCAGTGATGGACACTTCACCGACTGAGCCCCCCGGGACACCCCATGACAAGCATACTCTTAATCTTAATCCCCATCACCTATTTCCCCCATCCCCCCCTCCCACCTCCCCTCTGGCAACCACCAGTTTGTTTTCCCTAGTTAAGAGTCTGTTTTTTGGGTTTTTTACTTTGTTTGTTTCGTTTCTTAAATTCCACATATGAGGGAGATCATATGGTATTTGTCTCTCTCCATTTACTTGTATTATTTTTAACTCTTAGTTTAGCAAAACAAAATTTCTCTTCGTTATCAAAGCCCACCTCTTCCCCAGAGCTGAGAACTATTTCTGCACATCCTTCCCCCACCCCCCAACCCCACTGTGTCAGCTTGAGCAAGTGATCAGCAAGTGAGTAAATGAAAATGTCAAAAATGTCAAAACAGTGGTGGTAAACATCAGAGTCGTATTTTCATTCTGGAAACCTCCGGAAGGGCAGAAAGAACTATGGATTTGAAGCGAGAAGACTTGGTTCTGGTCTCGGCGTGGCCCCCAACTGGCTTCGCCCTGCAGGCTGGTAACCGATAGCCCCTGTAACCTCGTCCATCAGCACGGAGATCGGACCGGCTGACTTTCGATCCAGTTCTGATCTTCTGTGATTCTGAGTCCTGCACTTCCTAATTTCCTGGCTCCAAATCTTGGTCGCAGTACACCCCATTTCCTGTCTTCCTGAGAAACCACTCAGCCCCCTGCACACGGCACAGAGGCCCGTTCCTCGCGTAGCCATTGGCCCTGACCTCCGCTCTGGGTCGTCTTTGGCCAGTCAGCCGTGAGGAGGGTGGAAACGCCTGGCTGCTTCCTGCCTGTCTCGCAGGGCTTGTAAAGGCCAGTCCAATTTCACAAAGGATGAATTCCTCCAAGGAAGACCCTGCCTGGGTAAAATATTTCAATACTTAAGCTGTAATTATTGCCATAATATTCGGGAATCATGAGGGATGAGGAGAGAAGCAGCAGGTGTAAGTATCCTTATATTTGTGGTAATGGAGAGGCAAGAGACCTTAGAAGCCACCTAGGGACCCTCTTCATTTACAGATAAAGACACGGAGACTGAGACTGCGCCAGTGGCGGACTCCAGGCCAGAAGCCCAGGACTGCGGGGTGGCTGGAGTTGGAGCCTTGGTCCCTGGCTCGCAGCCCAGGGTTCTCCCACTACTTCAAAACAGATGCCTTGGGACCAGCTCTTGGTTTGTAAAACCTACAACAGGATGGTTCTAGGATCGGAGCGTGGATGCAGGGTCTGCTCTGACTCAATGAAGAAAAACTACCCAGGAAAGTTCCTGAGTATAGGCAACCTACAAGCACTGGTCAGGCAGAAGTACCCTCAGCAATCAGATGGTGCTCGAAAATCCGCTTCTCCCCCAGGCCCCACTTCATCAGAGGACGAGAGTCAGTCTGCATGAGACAGTCCGGCAGCCCATCAGTGTGAGGGAACCCAGAGAAACCCCGAAGAGCCCATTCCCGATCACCAAGTGAACTTGGCTTTCTCCTCCTAGGCCAGGTACCTGGAATAACTTACTGCCAGAAGTGTCTCACTCATGAGAAAAGCCTGATACCCAGCTTGGAGATGGAGGGACAACGTGGACTGTCATTTTCAGCTCCCACCTTGTTCATTGTCACATTCAGCCCAGATTTCCAGATCTGTGATGTGTAGTTCTTCCCATCAGGACATCTTTTTTTTTTTTTTTTCTTTTTTCTTTTGGAAGATTTTATTTTTTAAGTAATGTCGACCCCCAGTGTGGTTGGGGCTTGAACTTACAACCCCAAGATCAAGAGTCGCGTGCCCCACCCACTGAGCTGGGCAGGTGCCCCACATGGGGATATCTGATGTAATTTTCTTTATTTATTCAGCACTTGAACGAACAGGGCCGCCTCACTGTATCGGGGCACCAGAGAGCCAGAAGGAACTTAAGATTTCAGAGCCTTTGTCTTTTGGGGGTCCAAGATTCCTTCCTATAATTGTGTACGAAGTTTTTGTGTGTGTGTGTATGTGCACATTTTTCTTGAGAGGGGGTTCCCTAGCATGGATCAGACCCGTTACCCTGCAACAGTTAAGGACTTGACATCGTGCACCTGTCGTCCTGGTCAGCATCCCCATCCTGCCCGTTGAGTCGAGACCACACGGGCTGACAGTAGGAAAACAAGTGAGGCTTATCTGCCGAGAACTATAGTATTTTCTGTAGAACCTCAGGAAGCTGTGCCCGTCCGCCTAGACCCAGCCCCACGTCTGTGACTTCTCCCTCAAGCACGGATGTCCTGTGGGTCCGAGCCCAGCAGCTGGGGCCTGGCCCTCAGTGAGCCCTGGAGAGGCCGCAGGGGCACGTGGACAGAAGCCGGGCCACTTCCTGGCATTCAAAGACCCTTTCATTCAGCCCTTCTGGTCCTTCTGACCTTCATGCTCCTGCTGGGGGGTGAGAGGGAGGGGGTCAGGTTCAAGAATTTCCTATTTGTTCTCTTGAGAGCCCTGCTCTACCCGCTGCTGAGGGACCTTGTGGCCTCCGAGGAGCTGTCTGGGGATCACTTGGGCTGTATGGTTGCCCCACGGTGTTCTGGGAACACCTGGTTTCCCTCTGCTAGTCCTCTCGGGCTGGTTTTGCAGAAAGCAAGCCCGGTGGACGCCTCCTTGAGAAGCCAGGTATTAGTTGAACGTGCCATCTGATAGAAAAATTCAGAACGTCGTCACTCCTCGTTGGTGGGATAGGAGCAGATGTCCAGACAGAATCATAGTGAGAACTGGGGCTTTGGGGTCCCGACCCTGCAAGATAGACGCTTTTCTCTTTGCCTCTTGTGTATTTGAGTGTGCGTGAGCGTGTGGGGCTCGCTTGCTACCCGTGATGTGCTGAGTTCTCTTCTTTCTTCCTCTGCAGAGAGAAGACACGGGTCAATGTGTAGGCCTTCTCCCTCTCCGGCATCTCCACCCTCCAATTCCAGGACATCGTTAGTACAGGTGAAAACTAAAGCCTGTCTCAGCGGCCAGAACTCTGCCAGCAGCACCTCAAAGCCATTCAAAACGCCCAAAGACAATCTCCTTACCTCCAGCAGCAAACAGCACACGGTCTTTTCTGCAAAAGGATCAAGGGACAAACCATGGTGAGTGTCAGGCGCTGGCAGCCGGTAGCTGTCTGTCCCCACTGCTCGACCGTCCTGGGTCACCGCAGGAAACGGTGTTTACCCTCTGGCTTTGTTCCTGGGCGATGTGTCCAGGAATTTGGGGAATGAGGAGGGAAGGGGCAGAAAACCAGAATGACGGGACTGGGGACGAGAAACCTAAATCCTGAGAGGGCACACGGGGCCTTAAGGCACCACATGCCTGACAGGGGAAGCCTTTCTGTCCCTGAGAGCTGAGCCAAGCCGTATCTAAGAACAGGGTGCCAGGGAAGTATTCCTCAGTGAGGTGGTCGTCTCCGTTTTCCACCCCAGTGAAGAGAAGCACTGTTGAAAATAATCAAAAGCAGGGACGGTTTGCCCAGTGGGGAGTGAGGCCCTGTGAGGCAGGCCCCCCACCGAGCCTCCCTGCCCTGAGCAGCCTTGCCTCCGCTCCGAATAGCAGCCCACAGAGGCAGGTAATGGGGAGCTGACCACTGAAAGGAAAAGAAGAAATCCAAAGAGAATGTCACCCCTTTGAGGGGTGGGAGAGGGCTGGTTGCAAGTGACTGTGGAGAATCAGAGGCTCTGGGTTCATTTTGTTTTGTTTTTATCTCAGTCTTTACCCAAAAGTCAGGGAAAGGTTACCTGTGGAGTGGACAGATAGGAAACGAGACATGGAAAGGAGGACAGGAGGCAGGAGGCGAACGTCTTCAAATACGGACAGCCCCAACGTGAAACACTTAAGGGACTGGCTTCTGACAGAGCCTCTAGCCATCTCGTTCAGGCATCGTGGAGGCAGATGAGGGATAAGTGTGGAGCCTGCCTCATTTGTATATTTAAAGAGAAAAAGTGTTCTGTTAATTAATGATAGTTAATTACACTTAAGTTCATACCTAGTAAAGCTGTGGACTAAAATCATCCATCAATTAGTTTGTCACCGCTCACTGGAAATTATGATGACTTTGTAAAGAGCTAATTATGCCAGATCAATTAGAGAGCCTCTTGTGATAGAGTGGAAAGGTTTAGACACAGCTGTCAAGGAGGGGAGTTACCTGTTATCCAGGTGGGCCTCGTGGGCAGGCTTTGTTCTCTCTGCTTGTTAGGATGCCAGGGCCATCCTGTAGGAGGATGGAGCAGGTTAGGGAAGGCCCAGCCTGAGAGTGACGGTGGGTAGCCCCCAGACCCGCTTGCTCGGATGAGAGGCTCCCTTGTATCTGTGACCTCAGCAGCCTCAGGTGTCTCGATGTAAGCACATGCACGCTCTGGACATCACTGCCCCTGTACAGGTCTCAGCTGGGTGACCCTGGGCAAGTTGCTCAATCCAGTGTGCCTCAGTTTTCCTCATCTGTAAAATGGGGCTACTGGGAGCTCTACCCCGTGGAATTGCTGTGAGGCTCTAGTGAGCTAATTTTTATAAAGGCAGCAAGTGCAATGTCTGGAGAGGAGCACACATTTGACATATCCGTGAGGATAATGTTACCTTCCTCATTGTCATCTGCGCCAAAGGACAGAGCTCCTCTAACTGGTGACAAAGGTTGGGAAGTCAAATCTCTCTGCAAAACTAGAGAAATGAAGTTGAAAATGGAAAAGGATAAAGTCCTTTCTTCAGAGTCCAGAGTACTGAGAAACCACTGGAGAGAGCTGGACCAGGGGCCCTGGAGGAAGGAGCCAGAAGGAAAATCAGGGGTCACGGAAGATCATAACATGAACACAATGGACCACAGATGATAGACGTCCCAGCGGCATGAGACATGCTCCAAGACATCCAAGACGTCTCCTCAGGGAGACCCCTGGGTTAGATCAGGCCCCACGCTCCATTGAGACAAACGCCACATGCCCTCATGAAGACCGCTGTGGGCCAGGCCCGTCAGCCCAAGCAGGGTGGTTCTGGAAGTCTCTGAGAACATTGGTCAGGGCCCACAGAAGAGCAGCCAGAAGGATTGCAAGGAGGGAAATCCTTCTTAGGGAAAAAGAGGCTCCAGACACTAGAGCACTCGTCTTGTGTGAAGAGCGGAAACCTGGCTGGTGATTGCCCACCTTCAAGTAGGCAAACCTGAAGACTGACAAGGGGTGGGCAATGCAGGAGGCTTTCTCCCTGGCCTCTAGCCCAGCTATCGGCCCCCAACCCTCCATTGCCAGGAGTGTGTCGGGAAGGCTGGGAAGACTTTTCTTGGAGACTCAGAGGACTCTGCCTTGGTTCTGGCAGGCTTCCCTGGAGAGCAGTGTGAAAGAGCCAGCAGAGAGCTGGGGGCGAGAGAAGCCAGTTCAAGTCCGAGCTCAGCCAGAAATGTTCTGTGTGACCTTGAACAAGTCACTTCACTTCTCTGAGTCTCCTTTTCAAGCCTGAGTAGTTTGCGAGTCTAAGTCATAGTCATCTCAAAAATTTTCAAAGCTTCCTCTTTGCCTTCTGGACTAAGGGTTAGACCCTCTACAAACTGGCCCCAAGCTTCCCCACCATGCCTTTCTTTGGTACCTGTCTAAAATATCCATCCATCTGTCGTTACTCAATTTAACATTTAATAAGCACCTACTATAATACTGTGTGCCAGTTCTGTAACAAGGCCTATATACAAGGTATATATGGGGGCCCCTGATGTCCTCTATGGCATCTTTGTGCAAATAGAAAAAAGCTTGGATACAGCCCTGTCCCAGAGTGCACTGTTGGCTAACTGTCTTCATCCCCTACTCACTTCCTCAAGCAGAAATCCTAGTGCAGTGCATAACCTGTACAACTGCACACTGTAGCCTTAGGGATGCAAAATTAAGTAAGACAAAGACTCTCAGACTGCCTGGGTGGCTCAGTCATTAAGTATCTGCCTTCAGCTTAGGTCATGATCTCAGGGTCCTGGGATTGAGCCCCGTGTCAGGCTCCGAGCTCAGTGGGGAGTCTGCTTTTCCCTCTTCCTCTGCCACTCCCCCCACCCCAGCTTATGTGCTCTTTCTTGTGCGTGCTCCCTCTCTCTCAAATAAATAAAATCTTAAAAAAAAAAAAAAAGACACAGACTCTTAGGGAGTCTGTAATAAAAAGAGACAGATGCTAACACAGAGTACAATGTGTTAAGACTAAGATACTGGTAGAACAAAAGATGGGCACCTACCCCAGCCTGAGGACTCAGGAAGGGTTTTTCAGAAGGGGTCACACTAGAGCTGAATTTGAAGGATAAATAGGAATCATCTAGAAAAAGAAAACTAGATTCAAATGGTGAATGTTTTATCTATTTTACCAACATTCTTTGGGTTTTTTTGAACTTTTTTTTAAGAAAGTGGGAAGAGGGTCCCAGGCAAAGGGAATGGACTGCACAGGAGTATCTGCACGTGAGGAGAGGGGGGCGGTGAACCTGGGTAGGTGGGCAGGGCCATATTATGAAGTTCTGCTCTGTGTGCTAAATTCAGGGATTTGGACTTCTGGAAGGCTGCACGGAGCTGCTAAAGGATCAGCTTCCAGGGGCGCCTGGGCGGCTCAGGTGGTTAAGCCTCCGACTCCTGATTTTGGCTCATGTCACGATCTCAGGGTGGTGAGGTCGAGCCCGCGTGGGGCTCTGTGTTGAGCGTGGAACCTGTTTGGGATTCTCCCTCCCTCTGCCCCTCCCGCGCCCCCCACTACAGCAGCTTTCCGAGGTGGTGGGGCCCCCTTCCGGTCGTGTGAAGGATGGCTTGAGGGGCCCCTCGGAAAGCAGCAAGAACAGTGAGGGAGCTTTGAATATCCCGGGTGAGGTGCGGGGACATTCTGCACACAGGCAGCGGTCGCGAGCATGTGCAGGAGGGGCCAGGTAGGGGAAACACTGGGCAGAAAACCGCCACAGGACCTCAGCGCTCATTGCACGCAGGGCTTGGAGTACGTGAGAAGAGCAGGATGCCGCTGTCCTCCCGGGCCCGGATAGTGGGCTGACTGGTCCTGCTGCTGTCTCTTGAGGAGGATAGGAAGGGCCAGGGTTTAGGGTGGGAAGGAAAGGTGGGATTAAACTGGGAAGTCCATGCGTTTGAAGTCCAGACACCTCGGAGATGGGCAGGTTCCTGTCCAGACCACCGCGATAAAGTGAATAGTGCAGTAAACCAAGTCCTATGAATTTTGGGTTTCCTGGTGTATATAAGTTATGTATACACTACACTGTAATCGTTAAGTGTGCAACAGTATTGTCTTTAAGAAATAGTGTATTCACCTTATGTATGGATGGATGTATTTTAAAAGATTTTATTTATTTATTTATTTATTTGACAGAGAAAAATACAGCAAGAGAGAGAACACAAGCAGGGGGAGTGGGAGAGGGGGAAGCAGGCTTCCCGTCAAGCAGGGAGCCCGATGTGGGGCTCGATCCCAGAACCCTGGAATCATGACCTGAGCCAAAGGCAAATGCTTAACTGATTGAGCCACCCAGGAGCCCCACACCTAATTTAAAAATACTTTATTGTGGGGTACCTGGGTGGTTCAGTCAGTTAACCATCTGTCTTGGGCTCAGGTCATGATCCCAGGGTCCTGGGATCAAGGCCCGCATCCAGCTCCCTGCTCAGTTGGGGACCTGCTTCTCCCCCCCCACACCCCTGCTTGCTATCTCTGTCTCTCTCTCAAATAAATAAATACATAAATACATAAAACTACTTCATTGCTATGAAAAGTGCTCACCGTCATCTGAGCTTTCGGGGAGTCGTAATGTTTTTGCTGGTAGAAGGTCTCGCTCGTGTGGATGGCTGCTGACTGATGGGAGTGGGGGTTGCTGGAGCTTAGAGTGGCTGTGACAAGTTTTTAAAGTAAAACAACAATGACATTTGCCGCATTGGTTGACTTTTCCTTTCAAGAGGGATTTCTCTGTAGCGTGCAGTGCTGCTCAAGAGCATTTTACCCCCAGTCGCCAGAATTCCTTTCAACACCAGAGACCATCCTCTCAAACACTGCTTTATCCACTAGGTTTCTGCTGTATTCTCAATCCTTTGCTGTCGTTTCCACGGTCTTCACGGCATCCTCTCCAGGAGTAGATTCCATCTCGGTAAACCACTTTCCTGGCTCC